TCCTAAAACTTTTATCTCCCACTATGTATTTCGTAAAAACTCTTATGTCCATATAAAAAGTTTCTCCTAACAAAAATGTTCTATAATTCTGCCCACTTCTTGGGCATCACTATTTCTATAATTTTTTTTAATTTTCATCCACATGGCAACAAAAGGACAATCCACAGAGGAAAATAAGATAAACTAGACTTATAGATTCCCTAAAAATTTTCAAGGTTTTAATGGTGTTTGATTTCTAAAATTAATAGCTTCTCTCTTTTCAGCCATTGCCTAAAACAAATGATCTATATACAAGAAGATTATATTTTATTATTTTTTGTAATTAATAACAGTAAATAATGCTATAAATTTTGTGCTTGCTGCTTTGTTAATAGGTGTCAAAGGATCAATAACATCAAAATCATGATTTACTTTAAAAAACTTCATTTAACACATTCATTACAACTTCATTATTAACCTTAAGAGCAAGAACTTTTCCAGGAGCTACTAACAGAGAAACAAAATGTGACTAATTTTCTACTTCCTCCATTTTAAAAAAAGAATTAATGAATATAAATATGCCCAAATTTGATATTTTAACAGATTCTAGAACACATACTTTAGAAACTCTGTGTCTTAATAATTGGGCCATCGATTTTTCTGGGAACATAAATTAGGTCCTCTAATTTAATCTTACTTAGACCTGAAATTAAAATACAAAGGAGGTTTTCAGATAACTTTCCATTTTCTTACTTCAGATTATTTCTTTTGATAAATCTTCTTGCTTGAAGAGATGTATCTATTAAACTACTAGACTCTGCTATTCTTTAAGTACTAGTAGCTGCACATCCAAACATGTCTCACATTCCAAGTTCATAATTTAATAATAAAGTGAAAAGTGCCTGTAGAAATATCTTTAAGTTTTTTGCAATTCTCCAGGTGTTCTATTTTTTAAAGTGAGCAAGAAAATGTCTTAGAGAGGAATGTCTTCTGGACAGTACAAATACAGATTCACAATCCCATATCTGTTCCTGTCACTTTTCAGAGTTCTTTGAGGATTTTAGAATTGCAGATAAGGGTCAGTTAGTAGCAAGAACAGATGTAAATGAACCTGGGGCCCTTTACTAGTCTGGATGTAACCCATGCGTGTTAATGTTTCCATTTTTACTGTAGAAATGTAAATGTCCTCAGGATGCTGTCCTGCCTGCTCTCAGAGTATCAGACAATTTGCTCCGGAGGGATTGTATTCGTTTTCCAAAATAGGAAAATCTCTGATATGTGAGGCATGTCTGGCCTCAGCAGTTTGGGGTGAGAGATTACAGGCCTATGCAGGATAAGTATAGGATAAGTGTCCATAGAGCACTGAGAATTACGATATATTTATGTGGCAAAAAGTCTATGAGCACAGGACTCATGACAAGAAATCTACCAGGATGGTCTGATAAGTGCCACACTGACTGTGACTGTGATAAACGAGGAAAAGTGAAACACAGAGAGGCTGAGAAACTTGCCCAAGGTTCCCCAGCTTCACCTGGAATCCAGGTGGTCTGACTCCTTCAGAGATCATACTTTTAAACCTGAAAGACAGAAATCACAGCACAGCAAAAGACTGGGTCTCTGGAGGCGAAGCACAAGGATTCTCGGGATACTGGCAGTCAGGCCCATGTTACCCGAATATGAACTTGGAGAATCATCGCTTCTCAGCCTTTTGGCTAAGACCAAATGAAATTGGAGAATCATCTGTGGAGAAAAATGAACATCCCCAAGGAAATGACATGTAAACCCTGACCCCTGTGGTCTTCTGTGGCCTTGCACAGTGAGTGTACTCACAGCTACTTAGAGCCTCTTTTTTAAATAGGAGGCTATATTAGCCAATTTCTGTTTCTGTAATGGAATACATGTAGCTGCCTAACTTATGAAGAAAAGAAGTTTGTTCAGCTCACAGTTTTGAGTCTGAAAATCCAAATAGCTTGGCATCACTTGGTCAAGGGGCCCCGTGGCTGTGTTATATCAGGCCACATAGCATCAAAAAGGAGCATAAGAGAGAGGGACTAATCACGTGACAAGGAAGGGAGCCAGAAGCAACTAGGTCCTGTGAGAATGATATTAATCCTTTCCATGGGCACATGCCCAGTGACCTCACAACCTCCCACTGGGCTCCAGCTCTTTAAATCCCACAACACCTCTTGACATCTTCCCCTAATCAGTCTTTAGAAGACACACATAAACCACATCCAAACCATAGCCAATGGGACTCAAGGAGCACCAGACATTTAAGGAAAACATCAAATATGGAGACCGAAATAATCAGAAAGAGGGAACTTAGAGCAGAGGTAACACAGGATATAGAGAGGTTCAAAGAACATATCATTAGTATCTCAGCGATTGAGAAAAAAGACTGTATCCACAAAAGGAAATGAAGACACTTATAAAAATGAGGGGAGTGCAGTGAGGATAAGGTACAGTGGGTGAAATTTTAAAATATGCTAGCTAAAATGTACAAGTTCAATAAAACTTTGGAAGATCAAGTCAGTGAATTTCCCCAGAAATTAGTTCAAAGAACAAAGGGAAACAATGAAGAAGCAATTGAGGAATTTATAAATTTATTTCGGATTAGGTTTCCAAAAAGAGAAGCATGGTAAATGGTGGAGAGATTACCAGTTTAAAGATTCTTTTCATGAGGAAAAGAATCTGATAAAATATATATAAATATGTTTTTTTAAAAAATGCCCAACTACACTATGAAGTTTCAGAATACCAGGAAATAAAAGAAAATGTTAAGAACAAAAAATTCTAGGAATAAGAAAAGAAAAAATGGATATCCCACAAAGAAAAGTAATTATAATGCCATGGGATTTCTCTATAGTAGGTCTATATTCTGTAAGACAAATAATGCCTTTCATCTTAGAATTCCATACGTAGATGCTATTGTTTGGATAAGTGTCCCCAAAGGCCTATGTGTGAAAGGCATGGTACCTCGGGCGGCACTATTGGAAAATGGTGGAACCTTTAACAAGTAAGGCCTAGTGAAATAAGTTAGATCATTGAGGACATACCCTCGAAGCGGGTAGTGCAGTCCCACCCCCTTCCTCTTCCTCTAACTTTGCTTCCTGGGAGCATGACACTATGATATACTGCCTTGCCATAGTCCCAAAGCCAACAGAGCTAAGTCTTCATAGACTAACACCTCTGAAACCATAAGCCAAAATAACCTTTTCTCCTTATAAGTTGAATTATCTTAAATATTTGTTACAGTAATAGAAAGCTGATTAACACAGTAGCCAAATTAGGAATCAAGTGAGTTGAGTAATTTTTAGGCATGTAAAGACCAGAAAGCTACTTGTCTTTGAAGCTATCTTTAAGAAGCCATTCGGGACTCTGCTTCCACAACAGCTCAATTCATCAAGAAATAGCAAGATTTGGGTTCAGAAATTTGAGCTGAGGACACTAATCCAGTCCTGGAGAAAAATAGTTCTAGACTCAGAGTAATGGAAGGAATTAGTAGGCCAACTCTTTATGGAGGCAGAATAGAAATAATAAACTTTTTTTTTTACTGTGCATGAGTATGAAAAGTTACTGATAATTGTGCAAGAGATTTCTAGGAATTGTGTGAAGGAGAGGAATTGCAATAAGAATATGGAAAATGAAAATTCATGGAAATTCCTTTAGAAAAATAAGTTGAAGAGAAGTAAGAGGTAACCGTGACACTTTGTTTGGCAAAACGAAAAGCAGTGTAATGCTAATATAAATACAGATAACCCTTTTTAACAAAGGATAAAGCTTGTCTGAGGGTCCTATATCCCTAAATACTAAAAAGCAGCCCAATACAAAAGAATTAAAATATTTAAAATAAAAAAATTAATAAAATATTGAGAAATAAATTTAAAAGTACTAGAAAATAGCTGAAAGAGTTGAAAATGGTTGGGAATACATTTTGGAAATACACAAATTGTAAAGAAATTTTTCTTATTTTTCTGTATTTATGATAGCCATTAAATATCCATTCAAAATTATCCTATTACAATTCTTCTGTAAATACTTGCATTATCCTGCTAATATTTGCTTTTCCATTTATAATATTCTTATTAAGTTAGCCATGTATCATGAACCTTTCACCTTGATCACTCTGATGAACATCCTCATTATATTACTTCTGCACACAAGTGCTCTGTTTCCATTGTTACAAATGACACTTTCTGGTCAAAATTTTCATTTTGATAAAGATTTCCTCATTACTTTTCAAAATAGTAGACAAATATATATGTCTGCAAATCAAATTATCCACAAATAATGATGATGTTTCCTATCTCATGCCATTCTTTTTCTATGTGTGGTTTTGTGACATTAGCAGGGGTAGAAGTTTGGCTTCTATTATTCCTGAATTTAATGAGGGTACTTATTATAACTGTCTTCTGGATAATAAAAAAATACATGATTCTTGGTTTGGTGGGGGTTTTTCTTTAAAAAAATGTCCTATGAAGAGTTTTAATCAAGGATAAAATGTTAAATTGTATTTCAAATTTAGTCACTTATCAAACTTTTTCTTAAATATATTCAATATAAATTATTTACTATTTAGGTATACAGCAAAGTGACCTTTTAGTTACTGTTTTAGAGAACATACGAAGAAAATTGTACTTTGTACAAAAATGAATTTTTAAAAGTAGATTCTGAATGACTGATTGGTAAATGGTGCTGGAAGACAGTTCCCTAAAGGTTTATAACTTTTTCTTACCCGTTAAAATACAGACTATTCGCTTGGCCGATTCAAGAAATTCTCTTTTTAAAAGTATTAGCCTTAAGAGCATCTGTAAAGAAGCACTTGTCGTAGTCATGGAGCTATATTTCAAAGACTGGAGAATCCTTACAGACCTTGTTTTTCCTCCTTTTTTTTTTTTTTTTTTTGGTACGGGAAATCAAACTCGGAACCTTGTGCTTGTGAGGCAGGCAGCAGAACCACTGAGCTAAATCCCCGGCCCTACAGACCTTTTCTAATAAATGCACTTTGATTTTCCTTTTAGGGGCACTGCAATTGCTGGCATTGTGTTCGGAATCGTGTTTATTATGGGAGTCATTGCTGGAATCGCCATCTGCATCTGCATGTGCATGAAGAACAACCGAGGGACCAGGGTGGGCGTCATCCGAGCCACACACATCAATGCCATCTCCTCCTACCCTGGTAATCAGCACTGCCCACTCCTGAAGGAAGAGTCTGGTTTGTTAGTTATGCCCTGCTCCTTAGAGAGAGAAGACATTAAGGCTCTCATTGAAATAATCTCAAATTTTCTAGAGCATTCCTAAGTAAATGTAGATCAGAGCTCTAGCTTTGAATAGAGATTACTTACTTAAATCCAAATAAGAAAACCTATTTTGTATTTGAGCATATTCATATTTTCACTGGTTGTCTGATTAACTACAATTGCCATTCTGTCAGAATTAAAATAAAGAGACAATTCACACCCACTCTGTCTACCTGCCAGTGAGTTCTGACAAGTAATTATAGAAAAAGTATGTTATATGTCTCAATAAACTAGCTTCTGATTCAATAGGCATATAGGTCTTGAGGAAAAGTATTGAGGAAAGTTTTTATATGTCCTTATTATGCAAAAAGAACATCTTAAATTTCTCATCAAAAAGCAAAGGTAATATATTAATAATTTGACAAGCATTTGTTGAGTCTTCTAGAAGTTCCACATATAAATATATTGAGTACATGTGATCACATGAACAAAATGCTGCAATCTCTACCAGAGATTTCAACAGAGTTTTCTAATTTTGTATGTATAATCTGGCACATAAAAGGGCAAACACATTCTAACTTTAATACATCTTAGGAAAATCATTTCCCACTGACACTATGTCCTTTCTCAATCCCTATGAAAAAGCAACAGATACCTTCTACATCCAATCTGTCCTGAGTATTATTAGTTCCCTAATCCTTCCTTCCTCTGTTTTTTCTTGAACTGCTTCGACAGAAGGGATGAATGTGGAAATAATAACTTCAGTTCCTCTCTGGTCAGTTCTTCCTCTTCTCCGGTACCTTCTTTTCAGTGCCTTAGGGTTCAGTCTTAGATCTTCCTCCCTACTTCCCTTCTTTCACTCGATCATGTGGCTTCACAGTCATAAGTTTCATTTATATGCTAATTCTTCTCATGAATCTCACATTTGTTTTATCCCAGTGCATGTTTGAAATCTTCACTTGGTTGCCTAATAAATATGTGAAGTGTAACGGGATTAAAACAGTATTGATAATCTCCCTCTACCCAAAACCTTCACTATTTTCAGTTGGTGGCATCTCTACCTTTCCTGTTGCTCAGACCAAAACTATTGGATTAATTCTCAACTCCACTCTTCCTTCACAATCTACCAAGAAAATTTCTCACCTCTACCTGCAAAGTGTATTCAGTATCTGATGGCTTATCACAGTAAAAAGTAAACAGTTTTATTTCTGGCATGAGCCACACTATAAACTCTCTCTTATTTTCTTACCATTCTGACCCAACTCCCAGCATCTACTCTGGACTCCTGGGTCTTTTTTCAACAGAGTGGCCCGAGTAAACCTGTTAAAATAGATGTTATATCACTCCTGTACTCAAAGTCTTCCAGAGGCTCCCCCTTTCCAGAGGAAGACTCAACCAAAGGTTCTTCATTGTATCTCGTGAAAAAAGCTGCTCTTTTTAACCAGGGCCTTCAAGACATTGCATGAAATGACCCTTTTTCCCATATTGGGCCTCATTTCCTTCTCTCTCCCTTACCACTCAGGCTTTATCAGACTTTGGTCCCTTGTTGTTCATGAACACACAAGTCACAATACCAGTTCAAGGCTTTGCCTGAAGCACTGGCTCCCTTGCTTCATTCACCTCTTTGATCAAAGGTCACTTCCTGAATGAAGATTGTGATGTGGCTCTCTCCACAACACCCCAGTCCTCCTTATGCTACTCTGCTTTCTTTCGAGAATACTTTTAATCTTCCAAGTTACTATAGAGCAGTGATGGCAAACCTATGGCAGGCATGTCACAGTGGGCTGTTTGTATCATTGAAAGCTCTGTGATTGTGTTTCTCTTTTAATGTATTAGTTGTTTTTTCTAAACTAAAACCTCAGTATTCAGGTTTAATTGCAGAGTTGGCACTTTGCAATAAATAAGTGAGTTTGGGGTTGCAGTTTTAGCATTTGGTCTCTGAAAGGTTCACCATCAGCGCTATAGTTTGACTAATCATGTTTATTGTTGACTGTTTATCTCCCCTCTTCTAAAACACTAAATTTATGAGTCAAAATTTTTGGACTATTTTATTCACTTATCTCATGACAGTCTAGACTTAACCATATAGCAATACCCGTGGAATTGGTTTTAAGTTCCACCTTGGAATATGTAGAATTTAATCGCTACAAAAGCAGTTTGCAGTTTTGAATATTCCGTGGTTGTCAAGAATACTATTAAAGTTGGTAAAAGATGTTGGGACTGAGATACAAGAAAAAGAATAGATAGGACTTTTTTTATTCTTCATCTCTCCCCGTTGTTTTCCTCTAGCACAAACCTGTAATTCAAGAGAAGAACAGAAGAAAATCAGAGCTATTAACTGGAGCAAAGTCTCCAGAAATAGAAGGGAGTATTCCAGAGATAACATTTTCAATATACATTTCCTTGATCAAAAAGGATTAATCAAAATTTATTTTAAGGTATTTTAAAATATTTTGCAATATATCCTATTTTATTTTGCTTTTCAGTAAGTCCAAACCTTGAATAAAATTAGGTAATAAAAACACCATTTTAATATGAGATCTTTTTTTAATTTTTAGTTTTGAGGTTTCTATTTTGTCCTATAAACATATTTTCAAAATTTATAATGGCATCATTTTTCACTGACATCACAGTAGCAACATGTTGCATTTTCAGTAAATGCATTGTTCTGGAAACTGAATAATGCAAGAAACTCATGAACCTTACACTGGAAGCATTTTACTGCAAAAATACTGAGTCTTCGAAGACATAATATGCTCATAGTTACTAATTCATTTTACTCAAGGAATCATAATACTGTTGACTGCTTTTCAAACTCTTTCATGTGTAGAAGTACAAAAGACTTTCACCCACATTAGTTTACCCTGTGATAATTAAGATAATGACCCAACTTATCAAATGATATAGTTCTCTAGCCTAGGAGCCAGACAAGTGGGAGAACATAATTTATCGAAGGTCATTTTATTCCATGGCGAAAGTGTTCAGTGGAAACCTGTAGTGAGCGTCATTACGCTGCACTTGGGAAGAGAGAATGTCGTTCTGCTGTCACATCTGCCCCTTTGTTGGACAATGACCTTCTAAAATTAAGCTTTTCATCCCTTCCATGTTGGGTACAATGAACAAGTGTCATCTTCCATTACCATTATTTTTTAATGGCCCTTATCAAAATGAGAATGATTTGTCAAGCTGTACATTGCCACTATCTTCCAGAAATTCAGTGTAAACAAAGAAAAGTGAACATGTTAACCCATTTTTAAAATGTAGGTTTGGCTGCTACTTACACATCTAAAAGGAAACAATATAGTAAAACCAAAACAAAAGGATTGGCAAAGATACAACATCAAATGCCAACAAAAGAAACACAAGAGCTTTCAATGCCATCAAGAAAATTGAGATTTGAAGTACAGTATTGACTCTGCTGGGTGAACAGGACTTGGGGGGTAGTGGTGGAAAAACGCTCTTTTCCTAACTGAAAAATGCCAACAGATAAATGTAGGAGAGGGTCACAGAACTAGGGGTAAAACACTATTTTAAAATCACTGTAAGAAGATTTGGGCCAAAATCATCAACAGACGCTAAAATGAAGGGGGATATTTTGCTGCAGACAGGAATTTACAGATCTTAAAGTATGCGCCAGATTTCTTATCAATAATAAGTGAAAAAACAGTAACTACACAGTTGAGAAATCAAACATTTGGCAAGGTGATCCAAATTAATAGCACCAAAAAGGGACAGATGGACACCATGAACCTTTAAGTGCATCACTCTGAGGGTAACAGCTGTAGTGCTGTGCATTGGTGCTCCAGGAGTTCACAGCTTGCATCTTTGTATGAGAAAATATCTGACAAAACCAAGTTGAAAAACAAAAATTGACACAGAGATCGGGGGGAAATATCATTTATTTGATAAATAAATGCAGTTTGGGTACACTGCATCAGAGCAGCCCTCAGTCCCCTGTAAGGCAAGTGCAGGGGAGGTTTCTTATAGGGGATTTCCACATAAAGCTTGTTTTCAGAGATAGTTCATTGGCTAGCAGAAATCCTAAATTGATCACTATTCCGATGGGGTACTCCCTGCAGCAAGGTATCAAAATCTGTAAACTGGCTTCACTTGAGGATCCAAGTCTGTTGGGACATTCTGTGATTTAACATTTGTCAGGTATCAGTGCAGTCACCTCATGATCTTGGACTCCACTTTAGAAAGTCTTAGTTATCTCATTTTCCTTCACATTCTGTAAAACAACTAGGCTGTAGTCTTTAAAATCTTTTGGAAATACTTCATTAAGAAATCCGCACTGCATTTGCACCGCTGAATTCACAACTAAGAGCAACCCTGTTAGTCTATGTATTGAACCTGAGAAGATTTTTGGGCATGCAACAAATCTTTTTAGAGGCTACAAACTCATCCTAAAAACTTTTCTGTGTGTACTGAATATGAAAAAGCCTTCATCTCATGTGTAACTTCTTTATATACCAAAAATTCATACCAGAGAGCTTCTCTGTAATAACATGGCTGTCAATTTGAGGACAACTCATACTGAAGGGAAACAAAATGAATGTAATGAATATTGCCAAGTCTTCACCCAGGCAACCTGTTTCAATATAAATCAGAGAATGCAAACATAAAATGATAAAGCTTTCTTTAATCTCATATAAATTTTAGTTACAGAATTAATGCTAAAGGCAAAATCTATGAATGTATTATATGATAAAGTAGTGCTGGCACATACAAAGTTTTTGAAATGTTTTGCTATTAAATGGGTCTAGAAAATTGGGATGGACATGAAATCAGATTTTTTTTTTTTTTTGCTTTTTCTCCTATGGAAAACTCCAGATCATGGTATCCTGTAGTACATTAGTAAGTGCACTGATAAGAAAGATGAAGGAGTAAAACTGATGAGTACTGAAGAGAGAAAAGATTATTCAAAGTCAAGGTCCTT